ACAACGGCTCTGTGTAGTTAATGCTGCTCCATGTGAAAGCCCGCAGGTGATGGAGATTTACCGCTGATTACAGAACCGGCTTTCTGACAAGATGCGCGTTAAATATCGCATGCGATTAATCGTGCAGCCCTAGTATTTTCTTTTCATCTTGCCTCTGAACGATGCATATTAAAATAGTGTTCATAAGCGCAGCTCTGCTTTGTTCACAGCGGTAACCAAGGAAACACTGTATCATTGCTGTTCATAAGCAGCGCTGCTTTGTTCACAGCGGTAACCAAGGAAACACTGTATCATTGCTGTTCATAAGCGCAGCTCTGCTTTGTTCACAGCGGTAACCAAGGAAACACTGTATCATTGCTGTTCATAAGCGCAGCGCTGCTTTGTTCACAGCGGTAACCAAGGAAACACTGTATCATTGCTGTTCATAAGCGCAGCTCTGGTCGTGTATGCCTAAGGTTGAAAATAAATGATGTTTATAGTGAATGCCCCTATCAATGGTTTTATTTTTACGATTTAGTTTTAATCCAAATGATGCGTGTGCTAAGTGAGTAAACATCAAAGATCACACAACAGAAGAGCGCACGCTCTCTCGGTCTCTCTGTCTCCCTACAGATAAGTAACTTGTGCATTGTTTTACTTGCTTGTTTTTGACATATCTGACCGAACTACAAACTTTCCAGTGATGTCTGTGAGAAAGGTAAATTCACTCGACAAGCTCGCGCATCTGCGCCGCCGCGCGCTCAATCCACTCAGCGTGCTTTGCTCATCAGCTCGCGCACACCAGCTATACAGGCGTTAATACTGAATGTTTAACATTATATTCATTGCATACATATACTTCGTAGTAGACATCCTTAACTCCTTTCTGCTGTCTGTTGTTGGTGTTTCTTTGTTTGAATATGGCGCATAACACATGCTGTGTGGTATCGGCGTTTGGTATCGGGGCATTTTAACGAGTACAGGAGCTCAGTATCGGTATCGGTGCATCCCTACTAAAAAGTATCGAACTCGATACCCAGCCCTAGGGTTAGGGTTAGGTTAGTGCTGGATTAGTCGTTTACTCACATGGCAGAATGTCTTTATATCGGTTTTTCTTCACGTTTTCCTCCTGCTCTCCAACATTAGTGGGGTAGATCTTCTCTGTTCTGTATTTGGTTGATAATCGGCGTAATCTCTGTAAAAGATGTGCAGATACAGCATTAACAGCAGAGAAAAATTACATTTAGACAGACATTCGCATCAGAAATACATCAGCAAACAGCTAAATCCGTTCAAACCTCTGATTCCACCTGATTCACACGCGTGTTCAGATTACATCATGACACTCTACGAGACTTTTGCAGATTAAAATACTTTTGAATGAACTAACCCATGTTATGAGGCTTATGAGCGAATAGGACTTGAAGCAAATGTAAAGACAGCTGTGATTTCCACTGTTAATGTAATCTGAGTGTTTTGGTTTGACTCTCTGGTTTTGTTGTGCGTTTACACAGGCGATCAGGTCACGCGTGTTTCTCTATTTGTGCTTTCAGTGATCACAAACCGCTTTAGATGCCGTTCACACCTGTGTTTAGTGCTGATCAGTGATGGGATGTTAATGTCACATGGCTGTGTAAAATGAGCAGCAGATAACGTGATTATATCTGCAGTACAGCCCATAATGCTTTAATACCAGACATCCATCTACTGCAGGAGGAACGTGTGCAAACAGAACAGAAGAGATTCTGACCTCAGATCAGCTGCAGGTTTGGACCATCAGCCCTTTATCAGTCGATGTGAGAACAACACCAAGTTTCTGAATGTGAAAGTATGTGTGATTGTGCGTACATTTACATCATAACATTGACCAAACCACACACACACACACACACGTTTTTGTTCCATATTAATCATTAATCATGGACTTCACAGGCATAGAACCTCATGGCCCTAACCCGACCTCTGCCTCCGAAACCTGTGCAAAACAACTACCAGTCGACTCATGTGAGCGTCACGCGTTCAAACATCATGTCTGTGTCTTTCTCCTCCTCCATGTGGCTCATCAAACACAGGAAGCTGTGAGTGTGTGTGAGTGTGTGAGTGCATGTGTGTGGCGGTGTGAGAGAGAGTGTGTGTGTGTGTGTGTGTGTGTGTGTGTGGGCTGTTATACTTCCTTTCCTGCCAGTGTTGGGGAGGAACAATGGCCGACGTGACACAGTTCTGCTGCACTCTCTTCTCACTGGTCCATTTCCTGGTCCACCCCATCAGACCCCACAGGACTGTCAGAGCCGACGCCCACATCGCTGACGGACACGTCACACACACTCTTTTATCTAAATGAGCACATCTCTGACTTCTGTTGGCTTAATATTTCTACAGCGACTCCAGACAGACCCTAAAAGAAAACTGTGAAGAACATGTTTCCTTCAAGGATGTCTCCAAAGGAAGCGTATGTCAGAGACACTCTGGAGACAATCACAGCTCACATAAAACACACACACAAACCACATTCAACTTCTTTGAGCAGACGTTCTGAACTGGGACTGAAAGTTCATGAGAACATCAGCAAGAGCAGCAGGAGAGTGTGATGGAGAGAAGGTCAGGCTGATCAGTGAATTGTGTTCATCTTCACACAGTGCCATCAACATCACTAAACACTCAGTCCTGCCACACCTAACCAATCCTAACCCACCCATCCTCTCTCTCTCGTCTCAGTGTCAGGCTCTCAGTGCTTGATCTGCTGTGATGTTTGAGGAATTTCACACAAACTGCTGCCGATTCAGAGCACAAGACCATTTACCACACACACACACTCTCTCGCTCTCACACTCACACACACACACTCTCTTACATACATATACACACACAAACATATATATATATACATACAAACACACACTGGAAAATGTAAATCTAAAAATAAATTAAAATAAAAAATATTTCAGAATGTTTGACCGACGCAAGATTTAAATTTTTTAACATTTAACTAATGAACTTAAAAACTACAACATCATTCAAGTAAAATTCTCTTTATTAACTATCTGGTTAAAGTGCAGCACACATGAAGTTTAACATGGTGTAAACATTAAACAAATTAGATATCAGAAAAGATGTGTGAAACAATCTACATGTTCAGAAATAACATAAATTAAAATATTTAATATATATATAAACATAAAATAAATATTTTTAGCCAAACTGTAAACATTCAGTTTTAGACAACTCAAACTCAACATGACTGACAGAATAACAGCAGTAGCAGCGATTATTATTAAAGTGACAGTTCACCCAAAAACGACAATGTCGCCTGCACCGTCACATCTACTGTTAGCACTGGCAACATGTCTCACTGCAATGTTTGCTTTTTATTCAAATTTGTGATTCCACAATTTAAAGAAAAAATGTAATTGTGGCAAAGCATAATATTTAAAAGAATCAATAAAATTGCATGGCCCTAACTCTCAGACGCATACAAACATATGAAAGCGGATATGAAAGTGACATTACAGCAAAATAACACACACGTGAATAGAGAATGACATCATGACACACACACATCAGCCAATGAATGTGTTTAAAATGAAACCGCACCAGACTGAAGCTGAGATTTTCTGAGCTCATATGCAGACAGTAAAAGCAGACAGCGAAAATCTCACACACACCAACAGAGAAAGTGACATGAGACACACACAGCCATTTATGTAATTTATGAACACAGGAAAACAGGACAGAGGGATGAAAACACACTCGTTTCTCACTGGAAGTATTATTACACAAAACAGGATGTGGATGTCAAGGTCAGAAGCCACACACTCTCTCACACACACACACACACACACTCACACACACACTCACTCACACACACACACACACACACACACTCACACACACACTCTCTCACACACTCACACACTCTCTCACACACACACACAGTCTCACAGACACACACTCACACTCACACACACACACACACACACACACACACACTCACTCACACACTCTCTCACACACTCTCTCACACACACACACAGTCTCACAGACACACACTCACACTCTCACAGACACACACACACACACACTCAGACACACACACTCACACACACACTCAGACACACACTCAGACACTCTCACACACACACACTCTCACACACACACACACACACACACTCAGACACACACACTCACACACACACTCAGACACACACTCAGACACTCTCACACACACACACTCTCTCACACACACAGACACACACTCACACTCTCTCACACACACACACTCAGACACACACCCACAGACACACACACACACTCACACACACACACTC